CACAATCCAATTTGATTATTCCTGTTTTATGTACGATGTTGGCAGCAGTAACTCATGACAGCTTTTATAATACAAAGAATGGAAGTAACAAAGAGTAGTTTATTAAGCACTAAACACAGTAAAATTAAAAATCAAATCACTTAGAGTGAGTAAATTAATTTTTTGAAGTTTATTTTTATTTTTTGAGATAGGGTCTTGCTCCTTTGTCCAGACTAGAGTCCAATGGCATGATCACAGCTCACTACAGCCTTGATCTGGGCTCAAGCAATCATCCCACCTCAGACTTTTGAATAGCTAGGACTGCAGGCACATGCTACCAGGGCCCATTAATTTTTAAATTTTTTGTAGAGACAGGGTCTCACTATGTTTCTCAGGCTGATCCCAAACTCCTGGCCTCAAGCAAGCCTCCTCCTTTGGCCTCCCAAAGTGCTGCGATTACAGGTATGAACCACTGCACTTGGCCTGAGTAAATTTAAACTGTGGGTATCTTTTAATGGTGCCCTACTGCCAATTTCATAAGTGTTAGGGTATGTAGCATAATAATTATATTCAATTTCTATGCCCATAGAATCATGATCGGTGTTAAGAAAATATCCAAGTTTTCAAAACACCAACTTTATTTAAGCTTCACAAACAGCCACAAAAACTCAGAGACAGGTATGAATCCTACCATTTAGTAGACAGAAAAGCAACCCAATATTGATGGTAATGGAACAAAAATCCACTTTACAAAAAATTTGCGTGCTGGGTCACTTAGACAATGCAGAAAACAATATGGAAATGGAAGGAAAGGGTAAGTGAGTTTTAAATACTTTATGCCATGAAATGCTATTATAAAATAGATTGTAACTCACATAATGAATGCAAAGGAACCCATGGATATTCCCTGCCTTTGCTTGGATTGGTAACGGTCCATTTCCCAACCCCAATATGTCATCACAGACTAAATAACTTCTTTAATTTTAAATGTAGAATCTTATTCAAATGATGGATGACAGGTCAATTCATGTTTTTAACTCCTTTGTTTAAAAAGATTCAACTTGTTATGGAAACATTATTATGAGTATTCACATGTTTACCCTTAATGCTCTGCTTGCCAACTTAATGACCTTGTATTTTCATTAAGGTAAACAGCAATAGAGCAGAAAGGCCTATTTTTTAATACTTATGATATTATGACAGATTAATATATTTCCCTTAAAATAATCATATACAATGTGTTCTTTTCATTAAAACAGTCTCAATGCCAGGAAAAAATTAAAGGCCTGCTAATGTATTTGTGAACTTGGCTTACACAGATTTCAAAGACAGTTGCATATTTTACTCAGAAATCCAGCATAAAAAACTGAGACTTGTTTTCCTTTCATGGTTTATCATGCTTAAAATACAAACTCTGCCAAACTTACATTGTGGCAGGCTCCTGTTCCTCCATAACCCCCAACAGATCTTAATTTTGATTTACTGATTATAATTTCAAGAAATGCATTTTACTCAATTTAACTATGCTGCTTATTAACAATGTGTTTGTAAATACAGATCAAGAGAAATACATTAAAGGAAGAACTGAAAAAAGAATGAAAAACTTTTCCTAAGAATATTGCAAAAGGACTTCAATTAGAAATATGATCTCTGAAACCATATTTCAGTCCATTAGCAAAATTGTTAGGAAATATTCATTCGAATGGCTCTGAGATCATGCTTACCTCCAGAGTGTAGGCATAGAGAGACTAGAAGCATATCAAGAACAGAAAGATCTAGATGAGGTAAGGTTAGGTTTGACTTGGCCTTCCTGAAGTTATAAGAGATATAAAGAGAGCCTGAGAAGCATCAGTTCTCTGGGCAAAGCAGTGATGAGTAAGCTGCTCATCACATATCCCAGATGACAAAGTACAGTGAAGAAACAAAGATAATTATCACAAGATTACTCCTAAGAAGAAACCTTGTAAGAAAGAGAGACCGCACGCTGACCTAGACCAGAAAGAGGCCAAACGGAGGAAAAGAAACTGAGCAGTATACAGCATACAGAGGCTCAACCTACAAAATGGCTGGTCACCAAGAAGGTATAAGAGAATGTCCAAAGAATATATGCACTGGGAGTGTCAGAGAGGTTTTAAGGGTGCTGCTTGCCTTCTCTCAAATCACTGTCAGCATCTATAAATAAGAAAATTCTGTGTTTCTCTACATGTAAGTACAAAGGTAGATTTGAAAGCGATCTGTATCAGTTGTGGGAACAAATATGTTAATGGAAATTTTAAGCTTTACAAATAGAAACAAAAAATGAGAAGATAATGTTGTGCATTCACAATTTGCCTACTAGATACATTTCTGGGTCTTCTGTGGTTTAACTACTTGTTCTTAGATAAAATATAAATACAAATACATTTGTACAATAAAGGTCATTTGATTGGTTTTTTTGTGTATTTGTTTTCATTAATTCAAAGTCACTAAAACCAGATGCCTCAGGTAAACAAATTTATACAGACCCATAAGAAAAAAAAAAAAATCTTCTCCTGGGCTTTACAAGAAAAAAGGTAGAGAACTCAGAACATTTTCCTAAGAATTTTCACAGAATTACTAAAGGAAAAATTCTTTTTACATGTTTAAAACTTTGGGACATTAGAGAAATGCAAGTCAAAACTACAATGAGATATCATCTCACCCCAGTTAAAAGGGCTTTTAAAATCTGAAAGTCAGGCAAATGCTAGCAAGGATGTGAAGAAAAGGGAACCCTCATACACTGTTGGTGGGAATGTAAATTAGTATAATCACTATGGAGAACAGTTTGGAGGTTCCTCAAAAAACTAAAAATAGAACTACCATATGATCCAGCAACCACACTGCTAGGTATTAAATATATACCCAAAAGAAAGGGAATCAGTATATCATAGATATTATCTGCACTCCTATGTTTATTGCAGCACTATTCACAATAGCCAAGACTTGGAAGCAACCTAAGTGTCCATCACCAGATGAATAACTCAGGGAAAGGTAGTACACAGACACAACAAAGTATTATTCAGCCACGAAAAGAATGAGATCCTCTGATTTGCAACAACATGGATGGAATTCGAGGTCATTATATTAAGGGAATATGCCAGGCACAGATAAACTTTGCATATTCTTACTTATTTGTGAGAGCCCAAATCAAAACAATTGATCTCAATGGACATAGAGAGTAAAAAGATGGTTACCAGAGGCTGGGAGGGGTCGTGGGTAGAGGGAAGTCGGGATGGTTAACGGGTACAAAAAAAAAATAGGAAGAATGAATAAGACATAGTATTTGCTAGCACAACAGGGTGACTATTGTCAAAAATAATTTAATTGTACACTCTAAAGTAACTAAGAATGTAACTGGATTGTTTGTAACTCAAAGGATAAATGCTTGAGGTGATGTAGACTCCATTTACCCTGATGTGATTATTACACACTGCATGCCTGTATTAAGGTAGCTCATGTAACCCATAAATATAAACACCTACTATGTACCCACAAAAATTAAAAAAAATTTTTTTTGAGACGGAGTCTCACTCTGTCACCCAGGCTGGAGTGCAATGGTGAGATCTCAACTCACTGCAACCTCTGCCTCCCAGGTTCAAGCGATTCTCCTGCCTCAGCCTCCCTAGTAGCTGGGATTACAGGCATGTGCCACCGCGCCCGACTAATTTCTTTTTTTTTTTTTGTAATTAGTAGAGACAGGGTTTCACTATGTTGGCAGGTTGTTCTCGAACTCCTGACCTTGTGATCCACCCGCCTCGGCCTCCCAAAGTGCTGGGATTACAGGCGTGAGCCACCGTACCCAGCTAAAAATTAAAATTTAAAAAATCATTTGGGAAATTTGTGTTTCCTTATAACAACCTGGTATACTGGAAAACAATCACTCTATTTACGTATAGAAAACAATTACTCTATTTATATTCCAAGTAAGTTTACATAATTATTTACTTTTTCAGAGGGCTGGAATCTCACCAGTAAGGTAGAGCTATGATATGGATTCCGAAGATTAGCTGTGTCCTAACTTTTGTTGTACTGTAGTAAAGAAAATGTCTTTATTAAAACAGATAGGGTTCATTAATTCATTCATTAAAAGAAACCTGCAGGTCCTAGATCCTGGGGATACAACAGAGATTAAGATACAGCCGTAACTCTCATGAAGTTGCACATCTACTGGAGGAAGACAGACAAATTAAGGCGCAATTACAATACACTATGCTAGGTGCTTTCTCTAACAGGACTAAGCAAGAAAAGCTTCCGGACACAGAGAGGAAAGGCTTCTCAAACCAGTCATGAGATCTGAGATCCAGAAGATTCAAAGAAGTTATCCATCCATGAGCAATCAGAGAGTGGAAGATGTGGTGTGGATAGAAGGGCATGTAGGGGAAGAGGTCGGGCAAAGCCAAGGAGGCGATAGAGAAGTAGAATTTTCTTTCAGAAAACTAAAAGCACTGTTTGATACTGGGTCAAACAGTAAGGCTGGAGAGGTAAGCAGGACAGCACCTTTTATGCAGTACTAAGATGGATTTATCCTGAAAACAACGAAGCCTCCAAGAGGTTTGAAAAAGAGAAGTGAACGTGAACAGATGCATAGACAAAAGTGACTCCATCCTGAATACTAATCCACAATGTTGATTTCTGATTAACTCCAGTCCTCTGAAGGCCTCCTGATTCCTATTTACTGTCCTTAGTGTAAAACATGTACTCACTATAAATCCTGCTTTTAGATCAAAGCAACCTTGATGCTACGGCACAAATTAATGCACAAGCATGATGTACCTAGGATTCTTGCCTGTTCTAGAGGGTTGTCTTAAATTGTCTCTGTAGAGCCTGTAAATCCTTTCCCTATGGTACAAAAGCCCCGGGTCTCGGGAATAGTTGTGTGCATATCTACCCGTCTTGCTGCCACCCAAGACTATGTTTCCATCTGTAAGTTCCCAAATAAATCGCCATTTCCCCACAAACTGGATTTGCGAGCCTTATCCTTTAGTTTCTTGGCTCCTTCTAAGTTTAGGGGTTGCTTTGCACATATGCCCCTTTCAAGGAACGACAGATTTTCATATGAAAAAGGTCATCCTGACAGCAGTGAGGATGCAGCTAAGATTGAGGATATGAGACTAGTTAGAGGGCTTTATAGTGATTGAGGTATAAGATGATGGTGGTAATGATACAAGCATGGAAAGAAGTAATAAATCTCAGAGTTGAGACATAAAAGGATCATACTGAGTGTGGAGGACTTGTGGCATGTCCATCCGCATATGCCACCCAGGTGTAAAAATCAGGCAACAGGGCTGTATTGTAGAGATTTGTGAGTCAACAGTACTCACAATTGTTAATTTTTATAACCTCTGTGAGTGGATTAGGTTATGAGAGAACAAGCAGTGCAAAAGGACAGGAGTTAGGAGAGAGTTCTGAGAAACACTTACTGACATTTAAGGGTACTGGCAAAAGACGAGGAGGCTGAGAAAGAGTAACCAGACAAGAGGAAACTCAGGGGCATATGCTATCACAGAAGCTGAGAGAGGAGGGCACCTCAAGGAGAAGAATGTGGCCAACAGTGTGGCATGGAAAAAGTTCCATCATTTTCAGCAAAATGAAGTTGGTGACTTCGAGAAGAGCAATTTGAGTGAAATGCTTATCATTGGTTGTGGGTTAAGAAATGAAAAAATTAAAGGAAAAACAATGTGTTTCTATTTTTAAAAGTCTGGAGGTGACGAGGCAGAGAGGAATGTGAATGGAGGATAAGAAGGGACGGAGATACAAAGGGTCCAAGTAGGAGGGAGAATGAAACCACAGAGAGAAGCAGAGACACTTTTTCTGCTGTGACAGGAAGGAGGAAAGGGGAGGAAGATGAAGACTGTGTAAAACTGTAATTGGTCTAACACATTATTGTCACGTATGTAGAAACAGCATAGTTTTATTCTAGACTGCCATTCCAGTTGCATGACTATGGGTAAATCTAACCATATGTAAATCTAAACTTTTCTGGTTCTTAATTTACTTTTACTAAGATGAGGATGGTGGATTAGATATCCTCAAAACCCCCTTCAACAATAAATTCCAAAATTATACATTATGTCATAATTCTATGGTGTTTTTTGTGATAGATTCTTGGACATGTACAATGATGTGTATTTGTGTCTGAAATCTGCACGGTCCCTTTGGCGACGAGTATTTTGTACCAAATTTGCATTTTTAAGTGAGAACTAGAATGACTGTAAGAAATAAATCTTTAGTTAGTAAACAGACAACACACAGAGTGGGAGAAAATCTTTATAATCTATATATCTGACAAAGGACTAATATCCAGAATCTACAAAGAATTCAAACAAATTAGCAAGAGAAAAACAAATAATCCCATCAAAAACTGGGTTAAGGACGTGAACAGACAATTCACAAAAGAAGATATACAAATGGCCAACTAACATATGAAAAAATGCTCAACATCACTAATGATCAGGGAAATGTAAATCAAAACCACAATGCGATACCATCTTACTCCTGCAAAGCAACAACAACAACAACAACAACAACAACAACAAAAAAAAAACAGATGTTGGTACCAATGCAGTGAAAGGGAATACTTCTACACTGCTGGTGGGAACGTAAACTGGTACAACCAGTAAGGAAAAGTGTGGAGATTCTTTAAAGAACTAAAAATAGAACTACCATTTGATCTGTCAATCCCACTACTGGGTATTTACCCAAAGGAAAATAAGTCATTATACAAAAAAGATGCTTGTACATCCATGTTTATAGCAGCACAATTTGCAACTGCAAAAATGTGAACCCAGCCCAGATGTCCATCAATCAACGCGTGGTTAAAGAAACTGTGGTATACATATACAATAGAATACTACCGAGCCAATTAATGGCATTCGCAGCAACCTGGAAGGGACTGGAGGCTATTATTCTAAGTGAAGCAACTCAGGAATGGAAAACCAACCATTTTATGTTCTCACTCATAAGTGGGAGCTAAGCGATGAGGATGCAAAGGCATAAGAATGACACAAAGGACTCTGGGGACTCGGGAGGGAAAAGGTAGGAAGGGGGTGAGACATAAAAGGCTACAAATTGGGTTCAGTGTATATTGCTCGGGTGATGGGTGGGTGCACCAAAATCTCACAAATCGCCACTAAAGAACTTACTCATGTAACTGAATACCCCCGTCCCCCTAAAATCCTATGGAAATACGAAATACAAAATAGAAAAAAAGCCAGAAATGTTCAATTTGATCTAGTTTTCCCAACCACAAAAATTCAAAGTAGGTTGGTGCTTTTTTTTGACCCCTGGGGATAATCAGACAAAACCACGTAAACTGATTTTGAATAACAAAAAACTACTAACACATTAAGAAAATATTAATGCTCTTTCTATAAAGCATTTGAATAAAATAAAAAACTTTCCTTCATGGTTTTTTTTCCCGCTTAAAGTTTACAACAAAAATTTATTTCTTGCTCACATCATTTTCAATGTGCACTGATAGAGTGGGGGAAAGGCACTTTGCTCCCATTTAATTTAAAGACCCTGTCTTCTTCCATTTAAATCAGGTGCCATGGACCCATCTGGCAGTCTAGTGAAGCATATAGACCTTTCTTCAGAATAACGTCTTTAAATCCTAACAGAAAATGCACAGTATCACAAAGAAAATAGATTATATTGAAATAAAGTTATCAAAGGATTAAAAACTTTTGTGTTACAGGGCCAGGCATGCCTGTAATCTCCAGTACTCTGGGAGGCCAAGGTGGGATGATCACTTGAGCCCAGGTTTGAGACCAGCCTAGGCAATACAGCAAGACCCTATCTCTACAAAAATAAAAATAATAAAAAATAAGCTGGGCTTGCCAGTGTGTGCACCTGTGGTCCCAGCTACTCAGGAGGCTGAGGTGGGAGGACTGTTTGAGCTCAGGAGGTTGAGGCTGCAGTGAGCTGTGATCATGCCACTGCACTTCAGCCTGGGTAACAGTGTAATCCTGTCTAAAAAATAAAAATAAAAAAAAGAAAAAAGTGTTACAGATTTAATAATAAATGACAAAAATCCAATTTAATCTGCTAGGTCTAATAATTGTATTTTTGAGGTAATGAAGCATTATTTAAAGATATCTGAATAACTGTAAATTGATTCTACTGGTGACAAAGAATATTTTGCTGGATCCTTTGTACCTAGCTGACACATTAGTGAAAAAAGTGTGGAGGATGGTGTTTGGAAGTACCTTGTATTTCTGCTACCCCTTGTCAGTGGCCAGGACTCAGTCATATGGTCCTGTAACTAAGCGCTAAGAAACAAAATTTCACTAGTCCTTACTCTGATGTCTCTGCAATTTGCTTTTCATTTTGGTTGTCTGAAGCTAATTCTCTAGTACATTTCTCGGCAAGCGCTCATGTGAGCAATATTTGATTCTTGGAGTGTTTATACTATTTGTCTGGGGGAGTTGTAACTGAAGGTAAGTCTGGCTGGATAGAAAGTAAGTGGCTCATGTTTTTCTTTCTTATCTCTAATATGCTACTCCACTGATTCTCTTCCAAGCACCTAACTTCTGAGTCTAATTTGGATTTGTCCTTCCTTTCAGATGTCATGTAAAAGACTTCTTTTAGCCTGTTTTGAACTAATAGTTTATAATCTATTTTGTGGATTTTTTGGGGGCATGTTTTCATTGTAGGAATGTTATTTTGCCCTGTATTCCTTTATCTTATAAAAGCTTTAACAATTTTTGTTTTACTTTTTCTTTTTTAAAGATGTTTTCCTGTACTTTGAAAGGGACAGTCCAGCCTAATTTTCCCCAACTTAATAATTCTAGAGCTCTCTTTTCAGTTGTTTTCACAAAGTTATTTTACAAAATATGGTCTCCCACTTTGTGGGACTCCCTCCTCTGTTGTCCTTGCCCTCTTTTTATATGGACTGTTTCTTGTCACCTTTTGTCCTACAATGCTTAATTTGGATTCCACTTCAAGCAGTTTTCTTCAGTGACAGCATCTGTTCTGAAAGACAACTTCGGTTTGTTTACTACGGGAGTTTTAAAGGCCCAGACTGCTTTAGCACTATCAAACGGAACACTTGCCTGTCTCTTTTATTTACCTATGAATTAAATATTATAAAACACACATGCAGTCTCAGCGGTTGCTATGTAATTGGCTTGCTGTGCTTTCCAACGAGTATTTGGTGGCACTTCAAGGGCTCTCCTCTTCTCAGGGCCCATCAGCCTCCTTGTTTCCTTCCATTTGCTTCCTTCCACATACTAACTGATCCCACACTGATTTTCTAGTTGTGGGCAGTATGTCCTTAACTTGTTAGTATTTGGGGGTTTATAAGGGTACTTGGCTTTGAGGTTGTTGCTATCTGTAGGTTTTTGGTTTTGATATTCTACTTCCTCTGTTTTTATGATGAGATTAAAGAACAATGTCACTGCTGCTACCTTCTTCCAGAAATCTTCCTGTAGTTTGTATTTTTAAATTTAAAATAATTATCGTTCAAGGTCTAGTTCAGAATTTGAAAATCTGGGGCTGTCATTCTAATGAAAATATAGTAAGATACTTAGGATTTTCAAACTGTGATCTCTGAAATCACAGGAGATTTATGCACACATGGTGCATGTCTGTGTGTTTATTTGCACTTGTTTTTCTTTCTTTACCCCACTTCAAAGAGAGGGGACTCACTATAGACATTGTACTTCAATGAAATATTTTTGTGTGAAGAAAGGGTTACATGGTTAAAAGTATCTGAACATGGCCGGGCGCGGTGGCTCAAACCTGTAATCCCAGCACTTTGGGAGGCCGAGGCGGGTGGATCACGAGGTCAAGAGATCGAGACCATCCTGGTCAATATGGTGAAACTCCGTCTCAACTAAAAATACAAAAAAAATTGGCTGGGCATGGTGGCGCGTGCCTGTAATCCCAGCTACCCAGGAGGCTGAGGCAGGAGAATTGCCTGAACCCAGGAGACGGAGGTTGCGGTGAGCCGAGATCGCGCCATTGCACTCCAGCCTGGGTAACAAGAGCGAAAACTCCGTCTCAAAAAAAAAAAA